CTATTTTAAAGCACTGGAAGATTTTAAATTTCTCCTTAGACAAAAGGTGGAAAATATAAAAAGCTTTAGAGAATTACTGACAGCCACTGTTAGCATATATGTATCTTTGTCTTTTTTCTATAAGTCATTCTTCTTGGTGTGATGTAGTCGAATCACTATTTTTATGCAATCTTGTTTAAAAATTACTATATTTAATACAGTATTTTTAAATGTAGATTTGGAGAGAGTGAACCAACGAGCACAATGATTTTCTATTCTCAGCAGTAGAGGACTTTCAACGTTTTAAATTCTACTGTCATCAGCTGATCCTCAAGTGACCGTCCCGCATTCTGCACTCGAGAGATTCATGCAGCTTGAGGGGGCTGGACACTTGCTCCAGGTCATGCGTCCTTGGGGAAGAGGTGGGTCCCGGAATGCGAGGCCCGTGCCTCAGCTCAGAGGTCTTTCCAGTGTGCTCTGCTGATTACAATGCCCCTCATCCAGTTCTTACTGTTGCATTTGACTCACTTCCTGTGCCCTACTTCCTGTCTCCTGCCCCCCCTGACAGAAGGCACAGGCCAAGCACATTCTGGGAGGTACCGAGCCCACAACTCTTCAGTCCGTACTCCATGCCTTCCCCGCTTCCCTTTCCTCTCCTTGTGCTCCTGTGTCACCTTCATAGTTTCAAGGCCACTCCTGGGGCCTCCCAGGCACGTTATGGGCACGTAGGATGAGCCCAGAGTGAAGTGGAAAGCGCACTGGTCCTAGCCTTGACCTAACGAACATTGGCAAAGAACTCGTGGAGCCCATCACCACGTCGGCTTGCTCACTTTCGCTTATCAAATCTCCCTTTCTCCAACTGTATTCTTATCTGTCTGGAGGATGATGCATCAGGTCAACCGCCCTAGATAATTCCAGAAGGACAACGCGTGTCATTACCTGAGCCTGAGGCACCTGGAGAACTTTTCTATTCTTTACCTGCGGTGACTGTCTTTCGGAAGAGGATGGGATTGGCCACGAGGACGAGCAGCAGTGGCAAGTACGTGGTGACGTAGTGGGGGATGGCGTGCTCCAGACCCCTGTCACACCTGTCGGAGAAAAAGCAAGTCATTCTGGAAAACAAAGCTGCGCCTAAAATACGCCTACTTATCTGGAAGCCGAGATAGGAGGATGAGACCGAAAAGGGGAAATGCGTAAGACAACTCGGACTCGTGTCCCTGAACGAGCAATAAGTGGCAGAAGCGTAACAGCCCTCAGTCAGGTTGCTGTGCGTCTCGTACATGGGATTCGTCGAATGCATTTTATTAGGGGAGCTTTATAGGGCCCCCTGCTGGGGAAAAGTGGAAAAAGGAAGATGCCCTGGGATTCCGGATTCCCCCTACTCCCTCGCACTGAATCTCTTCAAGAGAAAAGCACACAATTCGAGTCAGACAAAGACCATCGATGAACGAGTTGGTCTGGAGCATTTACTACCAGCAGAGCCTGGCTGAGGCCGGAACAGAGCCAGCTTCTCTCCGTGAGCAACTCAAATACTCGAGCTTCCCATTTCAAAGGACGCTTGTTCTCCCGGTAGTGATCACAATCATGGCAGTGGTTCTTTTCCGGGACAAGGACCAGGCTTTCTCTTGATGACTCACGGGGAATCATCGGTGGCCAGAGGACGTGGAGGAGTGGCCACACACAGGTTACGCTGCACAGGGAGCATGAAGGGATGACTAAGGATGGTGATGCTTAAAACGACGGGCCATCTGGGGGCCATGGGGGCACCTTGGGAGCCCCTCAGGCTCAGCTGCAAACACCCCGGGAGTCTCCAGGATCCACAGGTGGACGGGAGGGGTGAAAAGTCCCGATCCATTTACGCACATCCCGTTTTACAGCTAATGACACGGTTTGTGTCCTTTTTCCGTTCCTCGGGAGAGCAGGCTGCAGGGGCGAATCTACACGCAGCTGTGTGGCTGTTCCCTGACGACGAGACAACACCGGCCCACGCGCGTGTAATTAAGCAGTTGCAGGACTTAGAAACGGAAGAGAGGTCCACGGTCCACACCACGACTCAGCAAACCTTGTTCTACGAGGCGGCAGATGGTAAATATTTTATGCTTCACGAGCCACAGAGCCTGTGTGGAAACTATACAACTCTGAAGTCATGCAGCCACGCGTGGTGTATAAACAAATGGGCGTGGCTGTGTTCCAATAAAACTTTATTTACAAAATCGGATGTAAGGCTGGCTTGGTCCTGGGGGCTGTGCTGAGCTGACCCGTAGGCGACACGACTCTGAGATCACAGACAAAGACACACTGTCCGACCTCCAGTTTTCAATTTTCTATTGGAAGTTACAGGATATACCCTCGGAGGGACCTTGAGGCTTTACAGGTGGTTGCTGGGACGAGCTTTTTAACTTGAAAACACTGCTGGGACCGTTTCAGAGGCCACCTGTCCCTGGAAGTGCTCAGGACAGTGGAGAGCACAGGACGGAAGGAAAGCGAGTCCGTGTAGGGGGTGCAGGCTCAGAAGGACGGCTGCTAAGGGGGACCCTCTGACTCCTCCACACCCTCTCGGACCGATTCTTAGGATGTTAAACTTACCTGCTCATCCAGGGGAAGCTGCTTTGAAGAGTGAAAATTCAGCAGTGGGCAGGACGGGGCTGTGTCAACGCAGGAGGGGGCGAGCCTAAGGCTTCGCACGCGTACTTGTGTCGGGGAGACATGCCCGAGCTTGTGCGAACACGCTCGTGTGCACAGGCACCTGTCCACTCCAACGTGGAAGGCAGCGCAGGGGTGGATGCCCCCTGAGGGTGACAGGGTCATGGGGGGCACCCCAGGCTCAGGCGTACGGTCCGTGAGCTCAGACTCCCACGGCCAGAGACGGGGAGCTGACCCACACGGCGTCCCCCGGGGGGGTGGTCCCAGTGCCCTTCCTGCAAGGGGACACACGCTGGACGATGGGCAGGGGCCGGGTTGTGGGGGGCGGGCGAGCTTACCTGGACACCGAGGGGTAGTAGAGCATGAAGACACCCTCGGTGCACAGCAGGGCGGCCAGGCCCCAGGCCATCATGTGGTAGAGCACGATGGAGCTGGGAGGCAAGCAGATGGGGCCGCAGCTGACAGGGCCGCCAGGGACCTCTGGCCACGGGAACCCGCGGACCGAGCCCCAAGCTCGGGGAGGGCGGGACGACACACACGGCAAAAGCCGCAGCTCGCAGTGGCCTCCTTTTGCCTCTGAGTTTTCGTTAATCGAGGCGAAATTTGTAGAATTCAGAATTAGTACTTTTGCGACGTTGTGCGAGCATCACCTCAGTGCAGTCCCAAACCATCTTCTTCACCCCAAAAGGAACTCCGTGCCCAAGGGGCAGAAGCTTCTCAATCGTGCTGTCCCAGCCCCTGACAGCCACGGACCTGCCTCCTGCCTCAGTGGATTTCCCTGTTCCAGACACTTCCCTAAATAAAACTAACTCTCTCTCTCTCTGTCTCTCTGTCTCTCTGTCTCTCTCTCTCACACACACACACACACACACACACACACACACGCACACACTATGTGGCCTTGTGCATCTAGCTGCTTTCACTCAACATAAGGCTTTCAACGTTGAGGGGGTCCAGGCATGGGGACCACGGGAATCCTCATAAATGCCCCGCTCAGCCCAGGAGCGGGGCGCTTCTATGCCCAGTCCTTCCCCGCGTCACCCCTCTACCTGACAGGCAAGTGTCCACGCTCAGTGCGAAAGGCTGAGACGGTCTCTGAGTAAATGAGTCCTGCCATGTTTCAGAAGCGCAGAGCTCTCTGTGCCTGCCACCCCCGCCCCCGCCGCTCCTGCACAGGTCCCATGCTTGGGCAATCGCACCCATTCCTCTCTGTGTCCCCCGAAGGAACCCCCAGCCTGTTCCCCCGAAGGAACCGAGCCCGCCAGCCTGGAGGACGCGCTCATGGACACGGGCAAGTGCAGGGCGGGTGGCCGCGGCTTCTCGGGTGGGGCGCTGTCGCTCACAGATCTACCAGACTCCCGGCAAAGAGGTCAGTGCCCCAGCTCATCAGGATTTTGACTCCGGGGACGGCTGTGTATACACAGGGAACCGTCACGGATGAGAACGAAGGTGGCCCTTCCACGAGGGGCAGGATGGAGGGGACACAGAGCTGGGACACGGGGAACGAGCTTCAGGAGGAGAAACGTTCTTGGGCCGGCTGCCTCGGAGGCCAGACAAAGATGGCCCAGCATGCGTTGCTTCCCACAGTCTGGCCACTTCTAGGGCGGCATCCCACCCTGTGGCTGTTTTTGGGAGCGGTGGGGTGTGTCTCGCCCAGAAGCCGGAGGCTTCGCATGAGACTCTCAGCTGAGCTCACATTCCGGACGCTGAGGCTGGGAGCTGCGGAGCTGCGGGGTGGGGGCAGGGCCGAGCCGGCCGACGCCTGGTCAGCGGAGCCCTGGCCCCAAATGGCCACGAGGGCTGGGCGTCAGCTCCAGGCCAGCCCACCCAGATGGCAGTCGCTCCAGTCACTGATACGGCCGGCAACCCACACCGGGCTGAGTCCGAACTCCAGTGTGGCCGCCACCAGGGGCCACCCAGGGCTGACGACCCTTGGACCTTTTTCCGGACTGCTAGAAGGTCTTCCAGACCCCCTTCCTCTCATTTCCTTAGAGCAAGTGGCATCTTCGATTTGGGGCACTTCCCAGGGCCGCCAGAGCCTTCTGCTACCTGGAGCCAAAGTAGCAGTGTGAATGTGAACTTTAAATGTCTCCGCGACATTTCTTAGGATTATAAGAAACAGTTCTCCCACACCGAAAAACCGAAGAAAATCGCTAAGGGCTGGGAGGCCCAGGCATCCTGCAGAGCCTGGTCCAGGCATCCTGCAGAGCCTGGCCCCTGCCCTGCAAACCTCAGGAACCCACCTCCACCCCAGCCGGCCGCGGGCTCTTCATGGCCACCTGCGGCATCCACTCCACCCTGCCCCTGGTCCTGCCCTTGGGAGGTGTCCCCATGTTCCGCATCCTTGGACGTTTGCCTCCTGCAAGATGCCACCCCTCCGGTCGCCGTCTGTCCTCCCGCTGACCTCTCGAATGAGTCCCGAACACGCTCTCGGGTGTGAGGAGGACCCCGGTCTGCCTGTGCTGGCTTCTCGGGGCTCTGTTTGCCCTCCAGGTACAGACGGCTGTCGGGCTGCCCTTCCTAACTCGTCCCCAGGGCTGGCGGGGACGTGATGCATCCTCCCGGACAGTGTGAGCAGACGCTTCCTCCCGCTCTCTTTGGGGTTCCAAGCTTTGTCCTCTCTCCACAATTGGTGTTCTGTGGACCTCTACTTACGTCATAGTTCTGATTCCTCCAAAACTGAGGGAAGGGTCTCCGGGCAAGGGCGCACACTCGCACTGTGCTTCAGGGGCAAGGCCTTCCCGTACTGCTAGCTGCCCACCAAAAACATTCTCCCTTTTTCCCTCAGTGACATAACCTGGATGGCGTGTACAGCAGCCGTACGTTTGGCTAACCAACTATATTTCCCATCTCCTCTTGCAGCTAAGGGACCATGAACCTAAGTTATGGCCAATAATATGAAAATGGAGTTGTGTGAAACTCCCAGGGAGGCTATTTAAAGGGAGACTCCTTTTGCATTGCTCTCATCCTTCTTCCTGCTGCCTGGAATGCAGATGTGATGGCGGGAGCGTCAGCAGCCATGTTGTGCCATGGCATCTCAAAAATGAAAGTCACACAGTAGGATGGCAGAGCAGGAAGAGAGAAGGAGCTTGGGCCCCTGATATCCATCGTGAGGCCTGGACTGCCTACCTCTGGCCTCTTCTAGTGTGATAGAGACATTTCTATCTGGTTTAAATCACTATTATTTTATGTAGCCAAAACTAACCCTCACTGATATGTGTGGTTGGAACTTTGACCTTAACTATCTTTCTAGAGAATTTTCGCAACCAGAGAGCTAGGTTCTATACAGATGTCTAAAAACTTGGGAAATAAAGTAAAAAGGTAGAAGGAACAAACACAAAAGTGAAGTAAGCATTAAATTTCAGGCCAGAGAAACCAAAGCTAATGATGTAATATATATCAAGAATATCAATAACTTTAGAGCAGGGATCTGCTAAGATTGCTCAATGTATTCTACAGCCTGCATATGATCCTTATGTGCTTACTGTATTGGTTTTAAAACTGAATTTATTCAACAAATTGTGCTGAGACAACCAGAAAACTACAAGCAAAAGAAAAAAAGGTGGACCTTGTCCTCACCTACAGGCGAAGCTCCCTTCAAAATGGATCACAGACCTCAATCAAAGTACCCAAACCATAAAACTCTTAGAAGAAAACAGGTATAAATCTTTACGACCTTGGGCTAGGAAATAGTTTCTTAGAGGACAATAAAAGCACAAGAAACAAAACAAAACAAAGTAGAAAAATTAGACTTCATCAAAATGAAAAACTTTTGTACCTCAAAAGATGCCATCAAGTTAAGTAGAAAGACAACCCACTGAATGGGAGAAAATATTTGTAAATCATACGTACAATAAGGTACTTGTATCTAGATTATGTCAAGAGCTCCTATAACTCAATAATAAAAAGACAAATAACCCAATTAAAAACGAGCAAAGGAATTGATTAGACATTTCTCCAAAGAAGGCACACGGAAGTCCAATAAGGGCATCGGAGAGATCAAAACCACTGTGAGATAACACTTCCCATACACTAGGATGGCCACAAATTTAAAAACCAAACAAATACACGGAAAATAACAAGTGTTCTTGGCAAAGATATGGAGAAATTGGAACCATCATACATTGCCAGTGAGGATGTAAAATGATACAGCCTCTTTGGAAAAGCGTCTCACAAGGTTATTCGCAGAGTGATCTATGACCCAGGAACGGAACGGCTCGCTCTATACCCATGAGTGCATGATGAAAACATATGTCCACACAAACACTTGTGCACAAATGTTCATTGCTGCGTTATCTCTAATAGCCCAGACAATGGAAGCATCCTAAATGCCCATTGACTGATCCGTGGATAAAATGCGGTGTTCCATACAGTGGAATATTATTCAGCAATGAACAGGAATGAATTAGTGATACTGTAATAACATGGATCAACCTTGAACGTGTTTAAGAAGCGCAACGCAAAAGGTCTTCACCTCATTTACACACATCATCACATTTACTCCTCCGTAACCTTATGAGGCAAGTACGATTTTACGGCTGAAGAAACAGAAGTCTAGAGAGGTTAAGCAACCGCCAACAGCCACACAGCAAGTGAGTGACTGGGCAGATCCAAACCAACCAGCGCCAAACCACTAAGCATTACGTAAACTGCTCACCACACAGCACCTGCGGCCCCAGCATTCTTGGATTCTGTGTTTAGCATCAGCGTCACACATCGAAGAATTTTTCCCCGAAACTTTAGATACTATCAAAAATTTTGTAGAGTCACGCCAATTCTTTTTTAGTATTTGTCCACTTGCAAATATTAAATTTATCGAATTACTTGTTTTCAGGGTTCTACAATTTTCAGTGCTTTGGTTCTGCCTTTGGCCTTTTATAAAACCGAGCTCCCGTGGGTGTTCCTGGGTGCAGAGGCCGGCTGACGGATGCTGACCGGCTGTGTCACAACGCTCAGAATCCTCTGGGGGCCTTTTCTCAGACAAGGGAGCTAGGGCACAAAGCCCCCCTCGCCCCTCTGCGTACCTCAGTCCTGCAGATCTCCGGATCACCAGGTAGGCGTCCACCGCATAGCAAAACAGCCACCAGAAGCAGGCGCTGTACAACAGCTGGATCCACACCTGCAACCGTCAGGAAGAGCTGGCATCAGAGGTCCTGGCATCGGGCACAGGACTGCATTGCTCCCACATGGGCAGTGAGCTGGCAGTGCCACTTCCTCTGACATCAAGAGGCAGCACATGAAAGCCACCAGGAAACCCAGGGCGGGACGTGGCGGGGGGTGGGGGGCAGGTGTGCCTCTCGGTCCTCCCTCAGCTCAGTGACTGCACTAGCGAGCCCTGCCTTCTGCTACACAGGTAGGTACGGTGGATCGACGTCTTGGAAGTATGGCTTAAACTGGCGTGAGCGTCTCTGGGGCTCACAGGGTCTCTGAACTAGAAGCTCTTTTCCTGAGAACAAAGGAGTATGGGCAGGAAAGACTTAGAAAGGCCTTTCCAGTACAAGGGGAAGGAAGGGGCTCTGTCCGTTACTGGCAGCACCGGATGGGCCACCTCCTGGTTGGTCAAAGAGGGGTGGGAGGGCCCTCCCGGTCGGTCCACAGAGCATCAGTGGGCCTCGAGATCAATCACTGAACAGTTAACCTGGTAAAGAGAGCTCTATGTATCCTTCATTAAGTAAAATACATTCAGTAAATCAATTTCTTTCTTTTCTTGTGGTGGTGGTGGGGGTGGAGAAGCCACAGTACATCACAGAAGGCCTCTACTCCAGGGTTCCGGATCAGCAGGTCTGGGGAGGAGGCGGGGTCTGAGAATTTGCATTTCTAACAAAGTCCAGGGGCTGGGAGGGTGACGTGGGACCACAATTTGAGGACCACGGCATCACGGGAGCGCAGGGAGGGAGGAGAGGGAGAACTAAGGGAGAGGTACTCACCGCGGTCCCCACGCAGAAGGCGGCAGGCCAGACGTCTGTCCCGTTAACGTGGGAGATGTTTTCAACGAAATCGGGGAACGCTAACCACGCCACAGACCGCACTACGATACCTAGGCAAGAATTAGATGATACTTTGTATCTGGTCGTCATTCAGACCCAAAGCTGATTTGTTGCTCTGTAAAAAGGATGAGTGGATGGACAGACGAACAGACGGGAAAATGGATAGGAGAATTTTGGCTTGCAGTTGCCCACCAGTCGTATAAAACCCAAACCTTGGAAAGAAAAAAAAAAAAATACACAGTTAACTGTTACTCTCTCACTGCTGGAATAACGTTGTATCCATTCTTTTTTCTGAGTTTGGCTTAAGCGCAATGAAGTTTTTCTAGTACACGCGCAATAACAAACACAATAAACAGGTCGTTTTAGAAACGAATGTCCTTTGGACGTCACTTTTACCAACCACGATGTTTTGCAGAGTCCCTTAGGTCCCTAGGAAGCCGCCTCTAGTCTTCCCTTCCCCGTGCTCGGACCACGCAAACGCCCTGCCCGGCCCGCGGGCCGCGCGCCCTCCGCCCGGTGCGGAGCG